AGTAAATCCTCAGACCAGCCACGGTTGGGGAAGGTGTAAACAGTGCTGCTGTGCCTCAGCTCTTAGACTTGACTCAGCACAAGTGCCACTGTGTAGACTCTCACCAGGTCCTTCCAACCACCTCCATATGAGGGAGGCAAGGGTCACTGTGAGGAAACTGAGGCACAGAAGTCCGGGGTCTTGCCCTGAGTCACACTGACTTGAAAGAGGCAGAATTGATCCCTGAGACCTCTTCTTTGACCAGAGATCTATATCTCTTTCCACGAGATTCCAGAGCAGAGATGGGTAGGGCATCGGTAAAATTGACCCATTTTACACTAGATCCTAAGTTTTAGTGATGGTACAAGATGTGGATCCTGGAGGCATCATTCCAGTGGGTACCAGAGGAAATGCCTGGAAACCTCAGGGTCTCCCTCCTTTACCCAAACCTGCTCCTGACCCCTCTACCTGCATAAAGGACGTCACCAAGGCCATGATACCAGGCACTGGGCTGAGCAGCTGAGGAGGGTCTGCAGGGAGGGTGCCCTCCCTGGTGGGAAGGGCTCTGTGTGGTCTTTCCAGTGAGACTCCTGTGCCACTCGCTGCCCTTTAGGACGTGGACTGCGCCTACCTGCGCAAATCAGACCTGGAGGCCAACGCGGAGGCCCTGACCCAGGAGATTGACTTCCTGCGGCGACTGTATGAGGAGGTGAGAGGGAGTGCAGAACAGCAGAGCAGCAAGGCTCCTCTCAGCCGCGGACTCTGGGTCTGAGGTGCATTTAGAGGCCCCAGGTTGAGGGGGCATCTTGGAGACTGGGCCTTCAGACAGTGAGTCTTGGAGGAAGCAGAGGAAGGGAACGGGGAAGGACCATGAGGGGGACACTGCGAGCGCAGGGCTCTGGTCAAAGAAGCTCTTCCCACTCCCCTGCCACACAGGAGATCCGTGTCCTCCACGCCCACATCTCAGACACCTCGGTCGTCGTCAAGATGGACAACAGCCGGGACCTGAACATGGACTGCGTCATTGCCGAGATCAAGGCTCAGTATGACGACATCGCCAGCCGCAGCCGGGCCGAGGCCGAGTCCTGGTACCGCAGCAAGGTGAGTGCCCAGTGCCCCCTTCCCAGCACCCTAGCAGGAGGGATGCTAAAAGGGCAAGGGAAGGGCAGGCAGCTGGGGTGGCCAATGTGCAAACTGTGGGGCTCAGTGGAATGACATATCCGTGTCTCAGGAGCATTTCTGCTTCCCCCCAGTGCGAGGAGATGAAGGCCACAGTGATCCGTCACGGGGAGACCCTGCGCCGCACCAAGGAGGAGATCAACGAGCTGAACCGCATGGTCCAGAGGCTGACCGCCGAGGTCGAGAACGCCAAGTGCCAGGTATGGGAGCCTGGCCTACCCCTCAGTGTAGCAAGAGAAGGGGTTAAGCCCACAGCAGGGGCATTTGGGGTTGACACCTACCAAAGTGTGGGAAAAGGGGCAAACAGCACACATTAAATGAGTCTCTTCCATGGAAAATGCTCTCCATTCCACTGAATGGAGATGAGAGGGGACAGTATGGGGGGAGCAGTTTGGAGGAAAATGGAATGACCAGGATTCTCTTGGCCTTCAGGACATAAAGGGGCAGAGGAAATAGCACTGGTCTGAGGGGCAAGTAACTGGGGCTCTCAAACCAGCCCTGCCTCTCATTACCACATGATTTGGGGTAAACCATTTCACCTCTGTGGCCCATTGGTCTAGGTCAGCGATCACACACTCAGATGTCCCAGAGGTTAGTAAATGCGTGGAGTAGGCTGTGCTGAAAACACTAGAGTGTGGTAAACTAGAAAGCACTAAGGATAGAGCTAATCAGATCCAACTGAGGCAGGCCTCATGGAAATGCAGGGCCAGTGGGCCCAGAGCCATAGATATTTTTCAAGAGAAGCCAGGAATTTGGATTTTTGTGTTAAATTCCAAAATTAAAGACACCGGGCCAACCTTCCTGGCAGCATTAATTTGCAACCCCTGAGCTCCCAAATGGGTGAGGCCCCTTCTTCCTCTGACAGTCAATGGTCATTGGATGCCTGGCCTCTGACCCCAAATCCAGAACAGGAGCCTTAGTAAACCCCCCACCCCCACCCCACCCCGTGCCTCCCAGAACACCAAGCTGGAGGTCGCAGTGAAGCAGTCAGAGGAGCAGGGCGAGACAGCCGTCAGCGATGCCCGCTGCAAGCTGGCCGAGCTGGAGGCCGCCCTGCAGAAGGCCAAGCAGGACATGGCCTGCCTGCTCAAGGAGTACCAGGAGGTGATGAACTCCAAGCTGGGCCTGGACATCGAGATCGCCACCTACAGGCGCCTGCTGGAGGGCGAGGAGCAGAGGTGAGAATCACACCTGTGGGAAGGATGCCTCTTCAATCTCCCCAAACTGTGCTTAGAGCCAGGAACATGTTTGCTTGTTGTTTCCATCGAATTTGCATCAAGATTACTTGAGAAGGGAATTTGCAAGCTTTGCTCTCCCCAATTAGTGTTTGTCTCTTTGCTCTCCCCACAGGTTGTGTGAAGGGATTGGCGCTATAAATGTCTGTAAGTAATCTATACTGTGGGTTCCAATATAAGGACTTGGGGTTTCTGTAGGGCAGACTTTTTCTTAAAGGGCCACATAGTAAATATTTTAGACGGAGGGCCATGCAGTTTCTGTCTCAACTACTCAAATCTGTCATTATAATGTGAAAGTAACCACAGCCATAAGCAATACTTAATAAATAGGTCTGGCTGGGTTCCAATAAAACTTTGTTTACAAATATACAACCGCAATTTGAAGACCCTGGAAGGAAGGAGAGGAATGCGGCAGTGAATAATTGAGATCACTTTAGTAGCTATTTCTGCCGATAGAGGGGCCTGGGCTAACAGTTTATCAAGGATCCATCCTTGAGGTTAGACTGCAGGAAGGAGTGCCCAGGTGTGAGGCAGAAGCCAGGGATAAGAATGAGGGGGGGGGGCACCTCTGAACAAGAGAAGTGGGCTCTGGTCAGCAAGCAGGACCGCTGGCCACCATCTGGCACAGGGACTAAGCCCTGTCCTCCACCCGCAGGTGTCAGCAGCTCCCGGGGTGGCGTTGTCTGCGGGGACCTCTGCGTGTCGGGCTCCAGGCCCGTGACCGGCAGCGCCTGCAGCGCCCCCTGCAGCGGGAACCTAGCGGTGAACACTGGAATGTGCGCGCCCTGCGGGCAGAGCTGTGGCAGTGGCCGCCTGGTGCGGTTTGCCTAGTGCCTCAGTCTTTGTATACACACCGCTCTGCAAGCGGGCCGGCCCAACTCCAGCCGCCGGCCCCAGCCCGGTGCCCAGGAAGAGCCTGGACTTGAGCTGGAAGGGCTTCGGGAAGCATCCCTGCCCTGCCCACACTGCTGCCTTAATTTCTCGCACCTCCTTCCCCCCACTGCTTGTCTCTTCATTTCTTCCAGGGAGGTCAGCTCTCCGTGCTGGTGTGTCTTGGTAATTCTCCCCATCCCCGAAAGTCTGAATGACTGGTTTTCTCGAAACCCTGGGCAAAGGTCCAATCCTGACTGGCTGCCCTGGGAACTTGGACTCCTGTGGCTTCTAAGGGGTGGGTTGGCCCTGGGGCGGGTCTGGTGTGAAAGTGCTGCTGGTGCTGTGTCTCCCCTGCCCTCTAAACCTGTGCACAATGGCTGAGGTGCACCTCCCAGGGAACAGCTTTCTTCGGCTGCCTGGGCTCTCGCTCCCTTTTCCTCATGCTTGGTCTCCATGTTTCCAATAAAGCTCAGGGGTCATAAGTAATGGCTGGAGACTCCCTGCGCATCTGTGCTTCCACATGTGGGCTTCCCACCCGGTTTTCACCCCCATTGGAGGCAACAGGGGAGCTGTTCTCAGCCAGAGAGGCAGGGTGGGCTGTCTCTGGGGCACCCTACCCAGGGTGCCACACTCCTACATCCTGAAGGGTGCAGGGGCATCAGCTGGCAGCCCCAAAACCCAGGCACACAGAGGAGCTGGAAGGGAAGTGAGAAGGGCAACAGGGAGGAGCTTTAGCAAGGATGGGGGTGCTGGCTCCCATGACACCTTGCGTGGGGACCCCATGCTGCTGAGACACCCGTGGTCCACTCCCTCCATTCCCCCACGACGCCCCCACCTCAACATGGTAAAGTTCCTGACCATGGGATCGGATATACAGACTTCCCCTTCCCCCATAAACCAACGCTCCCTGTTGTAGACCCCGTCCCACACACATACCACCACCACCACTCCCAGAGGGTCTCAGAGAGACCTCCCACCTCCTCCCCACTACCCATCGATGTGCTGCTGTCCATCCTGGATGGATGTCCCAAGCACAGGCCACAAAGACACCCCACACTCACAGTCACACAGACCCCGAGTCAGAGACCTGACACACAGATGCCCCATCAAACACAGACTTAACACAGATGTACCCTCGGGGGTTCAATACACAGACCATCCCTCAGCCCACTGATTGGGCACAGAGCCACTACCAGGTCCCCAGACTCTGTTGGCCTCCTCACCTTACCCCCCCCCCCCGCCACACACACACACACACACACACACACACTAAGACTTCCCTCCATTGCCAACACCCCCCCCACCTGCCCCCCACAGAAATCCTAGACCCAAACACACACAGTCCAGGGCCTGGCAGACAAAGCACCAGGAAGGGCTGAGGGCAGCCAGTCTGAGAGTTGGCTGTTCCAGCCAGAAACAGCTTGAGGAATGTTCTCTGGCCGCAAGTGCCGGGGGGAGGGGCACACAGCCCCACCCTCAGCAGTGGAGGACTCGGCTGCCCTGCCCCTTCCTGGCAGAGCCAGAACTTCTCTGAGATGTCTGGGCTTCTTCAAGAGAAGAGTTGGAACTGGCCCAGCCCTGGGAGAGGGCCAAGGCCTCACACTCCATAAGAGCCAAGTTCCTTAGAGCAGCGCCCCCATTCTCCTGCACAAAAGGCTTCCATTTACCAGAGTAGACCCTCTCGAGGGCTCCTCCCTCCTCACCCCCTTCTCTGCCAGCCAAATGCAGCCAGGATACCAGGTGCTGGCCATGGGCTCACCCAGGCTCAGAAAGAGACTGTTTATTGGAAGCTGTTCTCACATCATTCTTTAGACGGCTTTGCAGTCTTGGGGCCAAGGATGGGACCAGGGTGGGAATCTCTTATGACTCTGGGGGGAAGGGATACGGGTGTCCCCACACCTGGGGCTCAGTTGAGGACACTCCTGCGAGTGCCAGATGTGGTCCTCATGGAATAGGCCTTTTGGGTTCCACTTGAGAATCTCAGGGCATTGCTGCCCATGGTCCCCCCAAAGGCCAGCCCGCTGCCACCAATGGTTCCCCCGAAGGCCAGTCCGCTGCCACCACTGGTTCCCCTGTAGGTCAGCCCGCTGCCGCCACCACCGGTGGTATTCATCACAGCTGGGAGAGAAGAGAGAGGACTCAGTCAGCATGGGCCCATCACCCAGAGCCCATCCCTTCACTCCACCCACCCTCATGCTGGGCTGCCCCTTCTCCCCCCGACCGTCACCTCCCTTTCCCACCCTCCACACCATGGGCCAACCCAGAAGGAGCTTCGGACAGTGCGGGGTGGGGTGCACCCAGCAAAGCTTCCCTGGGCTGCTGAGGCAGCTCTAGGGCACCTGCTTGAAGCTACTGAAGGGAAGGAGGCAGGCTCCAGATCCCCACAAGCCCCGGCCCTCAGGCCCACATGCCATCCTATAGGCCCCACCCAGTCTGGAGAGCACAAGGGGTGGGCTGAAGCGAAGGACTTACAGATATTTAGGGCTCCCACTCCATCTCCGGTCAACCTGGGGGCAGAGGAGAGACCTGTGAGAGCAGCCCTTCCCTCAGCCCTGGAGGAGGCACTCCCAGGCCCCTCCGTCCAGGCCCCACACAGGACTGGTATTCTGTCCTCTGCCCCACACTTCCAGCCTTCCTTCAACCTTGCTGCAAAATGAGCAAGGAGGAGTGGGGGGCAGCGTTCACTTAGGCCCTCTTACCTACTGGCTACATGACCTTGGGAATGTCTTAGGGCCTCCATTTCCTCATCTACATATAGGGCCTCACTCAGTACCAACCTCACAGGGTGGTTTGCCAGAGTTCCATGACACAATGTACCTAAAGCTCTGGGCACACAGGATTAGGTAAATGGTAGTCCCTCTTATTATTACATAGACAGCTGCCTCCCCTAACCAGACCATAAAATCCTCAAAGTGGGCTGTAGCTGACTGATTACTGTATGAGGTCTGGCAGGTAGTCATTACTACGTGTTAAAATAATTAGTGTATTGTTGACTGAGTGAAGGCAGCTCCAACAGGGACTGAGGAGGGAATGGGGAGGTAGGTGGGGTGACTTTAAGCAGCCAGTGGAGCTGAAGCACCGTCTTGCACTGGAAATTAAAAATCCGCCCAAGACAGCTGGGTGTGTTTGCTCTGTGACACACAAGCCCTTGGCCTTGGGAATGAGTGTACTCTGCGGGGAGGAGGGGACACCTCGCCTTTGCGGAGGGAGTGAGGGAGCCACCTGGCCTCAGCAGCCCCAAGTGCAGGGGGTAGAGCAAAGGCCAAGGGCAAGAGATGGGTATGCTAGGAAGCTTCCAGGCCCCTTGTTAAAATGGCCCCTGCAAGTGCTGGGCATTACTGGCAGTTGGGGAGTGAGGGGGAAGCATGGTTGACATCAGGCAACAATTCCATATAAGAATTCAATTCCTAAAGAACTCAAAGGGGAACCTAAATACCTCGGGCTCTAGTGATCTGCGCGATTTTTCTTTTCTTCACCCTGTCACCCTTTTCTGATCCTAAATAAATATTTGCTTTGTGCCTAATTTTATGTTTGTAACTTTGTATTCTTAACTAAAGGCCTCCCCAAATTGGGTGAGTGGATGAGTTTCTAACCCTAGACCTGCCCCTGGGAAGGGCTGAGGGATTAAGATGGGGTGGGGAACGGTGGCCCACGGGCCATATAAGGCCTGTGAAATCATTTGGTGTGGCCCTGCCAAGGCATTGGGGTGAGTTAATTAAATGTTTGACCAATTATAGCAGACTAATTTTTTAGTTCATAATTTTGCTGGCCCAGGAATGATGTTATAAACATCCAAATGGCCCTTGGCAGAAAAAAAGGTTCCCCACCCTGGATTAAGGGATAAAAATAAGGTGTCTATCTCCACGTCCCCAAGAGGTGGAGAGAGGACAGCCACCTCACCTCCTTCCTCTCTACTCCATTCATTCCCCATCTCCTCTCCTCAGCCCTCCGGAATAACGCTCAGAAAAGGAAAGGTCCTTTGTAAACAGCATTTTACAGGTCCAAGTTACTAGTCTCTGAGTGCTTCCTTTGCAGGTGTTTTGTCCCCTCTACCCCTCTGCAAGTTCCCTGGAGGCAGAAACATGTCTTACATATTACCTATCTCTGTAGGCCGAGCCATGATGAGTTCTACTTCCAGGGCTTTGCTTACACTGCTCCCTCTCACCCTCATCAAATCCTGACCTTCCCCCAAGACATACTCTACAGCCTATCTAGTGACTGAGTGAATCAACCAACCCATCAAGGTGAGAAGGAAGGCCCAACTTCATGGCCATATATTCCATGTCTTTCATGAAGAATTCCCTATAAGACTAACCCATCCCAGCCCAGCTGGCATGGCTCAGTGGTTGAGAATCGACCTATGAACCAGGAGGTCACGGTTCCATTCCCGGTCAGGGCACACGCCTGGGTTGGGGGCTTGATTCCCAGTGTGGGGCATGCAGGAGGCAGCCAATCAATGATTCTCTCTCTTCCTCTCCCTTCCTCTCTGGAATCAATAAAAATAAAAATAAATAAATAAACAGACCAACCCCTCCCAGCCCCCTCTCAGGCTGCAGGTAAGTATGCAAATATCTCTGGGGACAGGGAGAAATTAACTCCTCCAGCACATTTAGTCAATACCACATGACTTAGCACTTTACATAGTGAGAAGCAGCCTGGGGTTATAGAAGATGCTTAAACCAGGAATCAGCAGAGCTTGACTGCACACCAACCCTGTCCCCTCAGTTAATAAAACTGAACCACAGCTTCTCTCTGTATTAACAATACCTGACCTGTTTACCTGAATGTGTTCTAAGGATCAAATAAGATGGCCCTGCTAATGGCCACCCACATGAAGTCATGACTTCAACTTTTTCAATGAGCTTTACACCACATGGTCTTTCCTTCTAGGTCATCTCAGGGGCAAAGAAGTGGGCCTCAGCTGTACCCCCTGCACTCCCACCTCCAGTGCCCTGCATAAGAGGGTGCATAGGACATGCTTGTCGATGGATAAATGTCAAGCCCCAGGCCCTACTGAGCCCCAGAAGGATCCCTTTCTCAGCTTCTGTGACCTCACCGGCCCTCCTCGCCCTCCAGCAGCTTGCGGTAGGTGGCAATCTCGATGTCCAGAGCCAGCTTGATGTTCATGAGCTCCTGGTACTCCCGGAGCTGCCGAGCCATGTCCTGCCTGGCTCGCTGCAGGGCAGCCTCCAGTTCCTCCTGCTTGGCACGTGCATCCTTGAGTGCCATCTCCCCACGGTCCTCAGCCTCAGTGATGGCAGCCTCCAACTTGGCACGCTGTGGGCAATAGAGGAGCTGTGAGGTGGGGGCAGGTCTCACCAGTCACTGGCTTCCTGCCTCCCCATCCTGAGGTGAGCACCTGGGCAACTTGCTGACAGGGCTTCACTGGCACCAGCCTACTTCCCCAAGCACCAGAGGGTCCCAGGGATTAAAAACATGGGTTCTGACACCCAATACCTAGGTTCTAATTCCGTCTCTGCCACTTACGAGCTATGTGATCTTGGATGAACCAACCTTTCTAAGCCAAAGTCTCCTCTTCTCTAAAACAGCAATAATCCTGGTGCCTGCCTCATAAGGACATTGTGAGCATTAAATGAAGTAATATACAAATTGGGTGGTGTCCAGCAGAGGGCAAGCACTTAATAAATGCTATTAGGATTATTATTATTATTATTAATAAATCCTATTGATTCGCAGCTCCCCGTGGCTGGAGGACCTCCAAAGCTATGGGATCCTAGTTAAATTCCCAAATGTCAGGCGGCGGATAGAACCAAAATCAGCTTCAAAACTGGAAGCAGTTTGGAACAGGCCCAGAGCAGGACTTGGAGCAGACACACTGCTTGGAGCCCCCAGGTTCGGGAGGGGTGATCAGATTCATGATGGACCTGAGCAATAACCGCCACTTCCTGCCCAGCTATGGCGTTCCCTCTGCTTGTGGAGGAGTCTATCTAGTGCCGGGTGAGAGGGCCACCATCCCAGGCCCTAACCAGTGCTCCTTCTCTTTCCTTCTCACCCACCATTGTCTGTCCCCAAATCCCCTCTCCTTAGCTCATGCACTCTGCCCTCTGCCCAGCCCCCCAATCCTCCCCAGGAGGCCCTCTGACACTCTCTGCCCCTCACTCACCTGTCAGTGCCCTTCCCTGTCACACGGGTGCCCCCTTGGCAAGGCCCACCCCACTACCTCTGGGGCCCTTGATGGCGGCAGACACCCCAACTCTGGGGCCTGGTTCTGCCCTATAGTGTGAGAGGAGACCCGGATGCAGCACAAGCTGCAGGGCTTGGGCAGCCGCCATTCCTTCTGCTGTGCCTCCCCACTGGCCTGGAGGCTGGCCCGCTTCACCGGTGACTCATGGCCCTGCATCTGTGCCAGAGGCCTCCGCCCTCATGTCAACAGGCCTGCAGGGCTCCGAGGGGAAGACACTTCTGGGCAAACCACCCCCACATCTCATTCTCCCAGCTCCTCTGGAAGTTAGCTCTCTGAAGCTGCTGCACTGGTCACCTTCCCTCCCTCCCCGCTGCAGACACCTGCTCAGGCTTAGCTGCCCCTCCCACCTCTGTGGCTGTGCCAGGTGCTGGGAAGGGAGGAGCAGTGAACCAGACAGATGGGGCCCCTGCTCTAAGGCAGCATTTTTTATATTCCAGTGGATGTGGGGGACAGTCAATATATAATTAATGAGACAGAACATTTCAGAGAGTGACAGGTGCTTCATTCGGACAGACTGCTCATAGGCAGTTGAAAAAGCCATCCCTGAGATCTCTTGTTCTAAACCCCAGGGGTAGGAAAGGGGCAGCCATGTATGGAGCTGGGAGAACCACATTCCAGGTAGAGGCAACACCAAGTGCAAAGGCCCTGAAGCATGAAGATGCCTGGCAAATAAATGCAAGGGACAGGAAGCGGGCTAGTGTGGCCGGAGCATAGCCAGCGAGGGAGTGGTGGAAAGTGAGGTCAGGATTGAGACAGAGCCTGTGAGCCACAGTAAGGACTTCTCCTGGCCACTGTCCTCCATCCCCCACCCTCCACCACTGGGAGCTCCCAGGCACGCATACTGCATCCAGAGCTGGGTGCAAGGAGAGTGCTCAGTACCAAGATGGTAACGAGTGGTGGCTCCTCTCTGGCCGGCCAGCCCAAGGCTTCTTCCACAGGCTCTATGCCCGCTAGGCTCCTCTTCTCCCTTTGGCCCGAGCCTAAAGCTGGCCAAGAATATTCCGTCCTGGAGCTCTCACAAGTGGGTCTGAGCTGCACCAGCCTCAGCCAGGCCCGGGTTGGGCAGTGGGTGGGAGGCAGGGGCAGGCTGACACTGCCCCCCCTCCCCCCGCTCCACCAGCCTCCTGCTCCTCACTGTCAGCTGGTTGCCTTGCACACACCCTAAGAAATAGGGAGGAGCAAGGAGGAGGGTTTGTGCCCACCTGGTTCTTGATGTTGTCGATCTCAGCCTGCAGCCTCTGCATGGCCCGGTTCATCTCCGCAATCTCATTCCGGGTGTTCCGGAGGTCCGCCCCATGCTTTCCGGCCTGGGCCTGCAGGGTCTCTAACTGGAACAGCCACACAGAGAAGTATGACAAGGCATGAGCGATGATTACAGGCAACTCGTCCCTCTCCCCACCCAAGGAAGGCCCAAGATTCTGAATGGCAAACCCTCTCAGCTTATCTTCCCAAGGAGGGAAAGTCTGACTCCCAGCAATCTTCACCCAATGCCAAGAGGCCAGACATAGGGCAGTGGGTGGCTCAGAGGCTCAGTTTCCTCCCAGACAAGACAGAGAGGACCAGGATGGCTCCTGGGGCCCATCCCCACTGATCCTGAGGCTCTGCCCATCCGCATCACATCATAGTGCTGGAGGATCCCTGGAAGTCTGAGGTCCTCACCTATCAAGCACCCCTCTCCTCAGCACCACCCATTTCACAGATGAGGAGAGTGAATCCCAGGGAATGAAGGCACTGCTCAAGGATCACACAGCAAATCTGAGCCCAGGCCTCCTTGTAGGCGTACCTGTATTCTCACCTGTGCACCACGGATGACCCCCTATCCCTGCAGAGACAGCCCTCTATGCTGCTTTAAACCCTGCCTCAGGCTCCCTTCCCCGGAACCCTGACCCATTTCCTCAGCATCTTCACAGTCAGCTGTACTGCTTCCATACAGCGCCTGGTCTGCAGCCTAGGACCCTGCTTTTCCATCTGTCAGCTGTGTGGAGTTAGGCAAATTACTGCACCTTTCTGTGCTTCAGTTTCTCATCTGTAAAATGGGGATAATACAGTGCCTACCTAATAGGGCTGTTCTGTGGTTTAAATGAGTCAATACAGGTTAAAACATCTGAAACACTGCCTAACACTATGAATACTTGCCACATTTTACCTATTAAAAGTATTAAACTATGTCCACTTCCTCTGCCCTGCTCCCGCATCAGGGCAGGGCCCTGTCCTTTGCAAGTCTCTTTTTCCCAGGACACTGGCGAGCACCACAGACTTACACAGAGTCCTGCCAGAACAGTGGGACCAGGCCCTAAAGGCTTGAAACCGAGTGAGTAAGGAAAACTGCCACCAAGGACCCTGCAGGAGGAGGAAATGTGTCCCCAGTGGCTGCACACCTTGGTCTGGTACGCGGTCTCGGCCTCGGCCCGGCTGCGGTTGGCCATCTCCTCGTACTGGGTCTTGACCTCCGCGATGATGCTGTCCAGGTCCAGGGAGCGGCTGTTGTCCATGGACAGTACCACGGACGTGTCAGAGATCTGGGACCGCAGCTCTGACAGCTCCTGTAGGCACCAGACAGAACATCGGGACCTGGGGCATGACACACCCATGCCCATCCTGGGAGTCCCCACACACCAGGGAAAGAAAAAGGGAGAAGAGGCCAGAGTGGGTGTGAGTCACCAGGCAGGGAGAGGGTACAGGCCAGCATCTGCCAAATAGTTCCACCGACCCTGGCTCCCTGAAGAGCCCCTTAGCAACTTCTCAACTAAGCGTCTGACAGGGTGTGGGGGGCTGTGACGGCTCCTGCCATGAGGCGCTGCCGGGCGTGAGCTCTACTCTGGAGGGGAGCACTAGGGGGTGAGTAAAATAAATCATGGTCTATAACAAAGCACTCTGCAGCTTCTGAATCTGATGACATGGCTGTGTTTACAAACAGGGAAATGTACCCGTGACATTCTGTTATATGGAAAAAGTGTGGTTCTGTTTTTATTAAAATATATATTTCTATATCTCTATGTGTATATATGCACAAAAAATGTCTGGAAAGGTAGATACCAAGATGATAAGAGCAGGTATAGGTGACCTGTTTTCAATTTTATGCTTTACTTAATTTTCTGGATTTTTTGCAATGAGTACCTATTTCATAATGAGAAGAACATAATTATATATATATATATATATATATATATATATATATATATATATATATATATATATCATGTGACAGATATATGAATACCTGCACTAAGATTAAAAATGCCTAAAGAAAGCCTCAAGGATCCAGCCCCTGAAATTAACACATGGAAATTCACTCTAAAGGGCTAATGGAGGCTAAATATTCAGACACGGACTAGACTGAAATGAGAAATGAGAACTGTATGTAGGTTAACATGAAATTATGTCCCAGACCAGTCCTGCCAGATGACTGGCCACCCTCCCCTCTGCCTAAGGCCAGAGCCTCACACAGATGGTAATGGAAAGGATTTTAGGTCCCATGAGGGAAAGAGCTGGAAGCCCAGTGCAGGGCAAGAGTGAGTAGGAAAGAATGAGGTGGGAGGGTGAACAGAGTGGCCAGTTGGTGGGCAGCCTCACCCAGTCCCTCTGGGTGGAAACTCTCAGGTATTCATCTCTCCTGATTTCAGCTCCCTGGCCTGCCCCACCCAGCCCACCACTGAACTCCATCACAGCCTGGGATCCCTTGACATCCTCCTGGCTCCTTTAGCCCTCCCTATCCCACTTCCAGAAAAATGGTCATACCATGTCTCTGAAAGGCCAATCCTGATGGACCCTACCAATCTGCTCTGATAAGGCCAGCTCCTCCCAAACTCCCCATCCATTGAGATTCCTAAGTCCAAAAAGGATAAAGGTACCCCCACACGGTCAACTCACACCCAGACTAGCCCAGAGGTGGGGGTGGACCAGATGGCCCCCTGGTTAGGACATGTAGGACATGACATGTCTCCCACTCCTGAGGTTCTCACCGTCTCATAGAAGGTCCTGAGGAAGTCGATGTCCTCATTCAGGGCATTCACCTTGGCTTCCAACTCCACTTTGCTCATGTAGGCAACATCCACATCCTGGGAAAAGTGGTGAGAAGTACACAGACCATTTAGCTGGGGTGGGAGTCAGCTAGCACTGTCCAACCTACAGGCCAACACCACTGCCCTACCAAGAAGCATACAGTTTCTCCAGCTGCCTGACATGCCCACGGATGAAGTTTCCTCTACTCAGTTCTCCCAGGCTGCATGATTGACATCTCCATGAAAGCCCCAGGACCGGAGGTACTTTCTCTGTTCTGGCAGCCCAGAGCAGTCTAAAGCCCCAAACCCAACACTTATCCTGTTCCTGAAGGCTTTGGTGGTTTAGACACTCAGGGGAAATCCTTTCCACCTACTAACTATGAGCCTCAACTTCTGATCAGTCAAATAAGAGAGCATAAAACCATTCAGACTCCAGGGCACCACTCTCAGACACGGAACGTCTCCAGCCTGAGTGTTTAACTAGCAGCATGGGTGGTCTGGCACAGGTGGGCCACAGATAGCACCGCAGGTCCAAATGATGTCTGGATCCCTTCTAGCCACACTTTCCTGTGGTTAAACTCCTATGGATTGTGCATCCCTGAATCTTCAAGGGCCCACCCCGGGGGGGGGGGGGGGGGGGGGGGGCTGCATTTATGTGGATGGTCCTGGAAAACTCAGCTGCTCAGTGAATGTGCATTGAATCAGAACCTTAAATCAAACCCCTGTACGATATTTCTAAGACCTTCCAAGTTCGGCTTGCACATCTCCAGGGATGAGGAACTTACTCTGCCTCGAGGCAGCCCATTCCATTCATTCAGCAGGTATTTCCAGCCTGCCATGTGCCACCCTTGTCTGTACTGAAATGTTCTGACTGTGCTAGAACACTTCCTTATTTGGTGTTGGAATCTCCCCTTCTAACTTTCATCCTTTGATATTAATTCTAACCCCTCCAGAAACAAGTCTAGTGACTAATCAGACACACACAAATAAATACACACACACACACACACACACACATAAACACACATACACACACACGCATACACACGCATACACACACAAGTGCATGTGCGCACACAAACACAAGACAGGCTATGCTATAGCGGCCTGACTTCCAGATCTCTCCTTCTCCAAGCCCATCATTCCCTTCTTTAGTCCCTAGAGCAGACCTTGGTCACAGGTCTCTATTGGCTGCTCAGGTGAGAGGGCCATGTGGTTCCCTATCCCCTGTGTTCAGACAACATCCCCCATCCTTCCTATCTGCCCCCTCACCTTTTTCAGCACCACAAACTCATTCTCAGCAGCCGTGCGCCGGTTAATTTCCTCTTCATACCTGCAGTAGAAGAGGAGGGCATGGTGTTGGTGCAGGTTTGTCTCCACCCCCCTCAGATGCAGGTGTGAAAATCTACCCTGCATCACCCCCACCCTCTCCTTAATGACCCCCTGAAAAAACAGGTGTCAGCCAATGCCCCCAACTTTTCCATATGGTGGTTCCTAAGGCTTTGAGTCTTGGCATGGGATGAGCGAGGGGGCGGGGGGGAGGCGGGACGGTGCAGGAGACATGTGAACTAAAGGACAAAGGCTGCATATGCTGGGAGAAAGCAAAGAATAAAAGCCATGCTTACAGACCGCTTCATATGGAGCCTACACTGTTATATGTTAGCTATGCATTAGCTCATTTAATCCTCACAACAAACTTTTTTAAATCTTCACCCAAGGAGATTTTATTGATGAGAGAGAGAGAGAGAGAGAGAGAGAGAGAGAGAGAGAGAGAGAGAGAAGGGGAGGGGAGGGGAGGGGA